AATAGTTCCACATTGTCTAATAAGTAAATTTTAAAAGGGGAAACTTGGAAGAACAAGGTGACTTAAAGGGAATTTGGAAAACCTCAACTGTTTCCAATAAGGTAGAAATAACAAATCTTGTTTGCAAAGCACGCTGCTAAGTCATAAGGGGCTTATCCCTCACTAAAAGCTATAAATATTTGCTGTTACATTAATACCATCTTTTAAAAATGAAATAAGGTTGCTCTTAATTTAGCTCTTTCCCAAGGAGATGAATGGTTTTCGTTTTATGCATGACCATTTAAGCAAGGGGTGGGGGGGCAAGGTTCTTCAGATAAAAGAATCTGGAGCCATGCTTGCTTTGTATTTCATTCCAAAATATAGATACAGTTTATCATGCTTTCTCAGCACTTCCTTAACTCATTGCAGCTTGCTTATGGCAGTCTTCCTCAATCTGGTATTCCCACTGTAGTCCTACATGCACTACAGATGATCCTCAACTTACGACCACAATTAGAATCAGAGTTTCTGTTGCTAATCAAGGTGGTTGTTTAAGGGGGGTGGTTGTATACAATTTTGCAATGTTTTTGCACAGTTGTTAAGTGAATCATGGTCGTTACGTGAATCCAGCCTTTTCCATTGACTTTGCTTGTCCGAAGCCAGCTGGGAAGGTCACAAATGATGATCACATGACCTCATGATGCTGCAGCATGTATCACAAATACATGCTGTTTGTCAAGTACCCAAATTCTGATCACATGACCATGAGAATGCTAGGACAGTCGTAAGTGCAAGGACTGGTCATAAGTGACATTTTCCAGTGCCGTTGTAACTTTGAACGGTTGCTAAACAAATGGTTGAAAGTCAAAGACTAACTGTACACACACACACACACACACACATACACACACACACACACACATATATGTATGGTATTCAGCTTTGTTCGGGTATTTTCCCACGTCATTATAGTTGTGCTTTTAAAGTTGTAGCAACGTTTTGGCAGAATCTCATCTGCCATCATCAGGCTTCTGTATTGTGTTCGTCTGTGAGTCAGACTTTCACAGTTGCTTCAGTTTTAAATTTGGGGCTAGCCTACTGCTGTGCCAGAAGGCTAGCCCCAAATTTAAAACTGAAACAACTGTAAATATGACCGTGTGGCACTTGAGCAACAACTTAAGAGAAGCCAACTTAAGAGAAGCCAATCTCCCAGACCAGGTCATCCTTACTATTCAGGCGTCTCGTAAATCTTCTATGACGCGTATGTACAATGCCACCTGGAGGGTTTTTTGTCATTGGTGTCACAGGGAAGGTCTCTCTCCTACAGTAGTGGGGGTCCCACAGGTCCTCCGTTTCCTCCAAGATGGCCTTGACAAAGGTCTGGCTCCTAACACTTTACGCCGTCAAGTAGCAGCTCTTGCTTCAGTCATCTCTTTAGATTCCTTTCCTTCCTTGTCCCATCATCCTTCAGTTCAGAGATTCTTAAAAGGGGCTTCCAATCTCCGCCCTCCTGTGGTTCAAAGGTTCCCATCCTGGGACCTTCACAAGGTCCTCCTGGCCCTAACAGAACCTCCCTTAGAACCCCTCAGAAAGGTGTCCCTTCAATTCTTGAACTTCAGGGTGGTTTTCTTAATAGCCATTACTTCAGCTAGAAGGGCGTCAGAATTGGCTGCTCTATCTATACGGCAGCACCTCTGCACTTTTCATGACAATAGAGTTGTTCTTCATTTAGACCCTACCTTTGTACCCAAAATAATTCTGTATTCCACAGAGCCCAAGACCTAGTAGTTCCTGATTTTTGTTCCCATCCACATCATGCCTTAGAGCGCAAGTGGCACACCTTAGATTTAGGAGTGCTCTTAGAATTTATATGCACTTCAACGTTTAGGAAGATGGAGGCTGTTTGTATCCTTTTCCCCTTCCCACTGGGGGAACAAGGCCTCTCCTGCCACCTTAAGCAGGTGGATCAGGGCTTGCATCACACAGGCCTACAAAGCCAAAGCTCTGCCAGTACAACACGGTTTGAAAGCACACTCCACTAGAAGTGCTGCAACTTCGGCTGCGTGAGCCACCCAGGCACCCGTAGAGGAGATTTGCAGAGCGGCTACATGGACATCCCTGTCTCCGTTCATCAGACACTACCACTTGGATTCCTATGCCTCCACAAGCACGGCTTTTGGCAGACAGGTTCTTCAGCGAGTGGTGCCTACTTCGGAGTGAGAGACCGGACGAGGAGCCTCCCGAGGACATGAAGGCTTTGGTATGTCCCATCCTGGGCTCTCACAGCAGCATGGAGGAGAATGGGCATTGGTAAATTTACCTGAGAATTCCCTTTCTATCTATGGTGCTAGAGAGCCCAGCCCCGCTCTTGTTGCATCTGGATTGTGGTGAGGCATGTTATGGTTCACAATTCTGTTTTGGCTTTCAGAGACACTCACTAAAGTCTGTCAAGTATCTTCGCCAAAGCTGGGGGGTTTCTCCCACAGGCTGCTACTTTTATACTAGACGGACCCAGCTTGATGATGTCATCAGAAGGAGTCATACCCATCCTGGGCTCTCTAGCAGCATAGATAGAAAGAACATTCTCGGGTAAATTTACCAACGCCCATTTTCAGCTGTAGCACTGGGAGGAAGCCTCAGGCTCATGTCACTCATCAAAATCTGCTAAGTTCTCACTATGTTAAGGGCACTAAGCCACATTTTTGAACTCCATATACGGCTATGCTGTTGTTTTGCATACCATACGAAGACCATCATGACAAAATTATTATCTCTGAAGACTTGATTACATACCAACTAGGGGTAAAAGGAATTCCAGAGCTGGCTTTAGAAATCAGGGAGACTTTGTGAGCAGAATTTCTTAACTGGTTTGATATTCAGTGTAGTACTTGGATTTTAGTAACTGAAAAAGAAAATCCATGGTGGTCTCTTCAATATGTAAAATATGCTTTGTTCTTCAATAATTCCACAATAACATGCTTTCCTCTTTCAAAAAATAAATGATTTAAATTTAAGTCTCTCAGTTTTCAGGCTGCTAGGCAGTTCTAGATCCTTGGAATGGATCAAACCTGAAAATATTTTGGTTGAAGAACAAATAGGCTTTATAGCTGGACATTCAGTATTAGATCACTTCTTTATTTTGCAGTATCTACAATAAGTGAAAACTTATAAGTGAAACTTAAGTTGGGATCCACACATAATATGCAGTTTTTATCAATTTCAGAATCACTTTTGTACTTATTGCTACACATAGTGCAAACTTGAGTATAATGGATGCTTGCTTCTTATATAAAACTTTTTGAGAACTCTAGTTTAAAAATTAGGTGAATGATGTACTATTATTTTAGATACCAATTGGTCTAAAGCAAACTTCATATAACAGCATATTGCACAATAGAAGCACTCAACATTAATTATGCAAAACCTAAGATATTGGTGTATGTGTTTACAGAATATAATATAATAGTAATAAACATTTATTTTGTTTATTTCTTCTAACAAGGTTTTGTTTCACTATTTATTAAATTTAGCTTACTTCAACCAATTTCAATATCATAATTATTGGGTTTTACTGCACTTTTATTTCCTGTCTCACAATTCTTTTCCTTCTGATTTTGAACTGGTCTTTAATTGTAATAAAGTACTTCTACTAACTTCTGCTCTTATCAATTTATATTCTTGTGCCAAATGGGCATATAGGTTATTTGTCTCTGAAGTTACTTTTGTATTAAACTCAAATAATATTAGAATAACACTATAAAAGTATAGAAAGCCAGTTTGATGTATTCAGTAAAAGCATCAGGCAAAAAATTGAGAGACTGTGAGTTCTAGTCCCACCTTAGGCATAAAGCTGGCTTGATGATTACGGGCCAGTCAGTTTCTGACAGCTCTAGGAAGGAGAAAGTGGCATACCACTTCTGAAAAACCCTGCCAAGAAAACTGCAGAGACTTGTCCCGGGAGACTCTGAGAATTGGCACAATTGAAAGGAAAAAAAAATATAGTTCAATTAATCGTTCTTGTTATGTTAAAGAGAGTGAGCAAATCATTAATAACTGCATACCCGAAATTATGTCATATTGTAAGAATGGAATGTGGCTTACTTCTTGATTCACACTAATTTTGGCAAGTACAACACAGTAAGCCAAAGTGTTCGGAAATGCACTGTATTCTTGGCCTTTATTTTTAACACAGAAATCTGACTCTGGGGAAAGCTACATGTCCTAGCAATCAATCATTCTTTGACCCTGCTAAAGGCTCCCATGAATGACAGTTGCTGTCTTTTCTCATGCCTATTAAAAGCCTAAGCCTACAGTTGAACCCACATGTTTTAGATTTCTGCATATTGATGAAGCCTAGTTGATTTCTAATGACTTCCATTGACAAAATTACAGACCCCAGCTTTGATTCTCAAGTGTGATTGATTTTGTTTTTCCCAAACTTTAGTGAAGCTAAACTGGCTATATTTATTAAGATAGCTTCTTCTTAATAGAGACAAATTATTAGACATCAATCTGTATTTTATAACATGATATAAAAAATTCTAATAGTTCTAACATTTCTGTATTCTGTGTGACATATTGATGAATGTGCATTATGGACATAGCTTATAATAAAAGGTTTCTCAGTTTTTCTCATACTGCTATATGTTAATTTTATTTATTAGACTTTCATTTATGGCACCATTTGATGGCATGTGGAGTTTTTTGGCCACTGGCTATAATCTTGCTGTAGACTGAGATATAATAGAGCAAGAAGGCAGGTGTACACTATGAAACTGATGCAGATGTATCAGGAAACCATGGATAAAACTTAAATGTACGTCGTCTTTATTCATCAGTGCAATCAGAGTTGAAAATCCTTGCTACTTTATTGTGATCAATGGCTCAAAATATTGGCTGTGCAGCTTGGATGTCAGCCAGTATGGTTATGTTTGGAACAAAGCTCTCGTTTTGTAAAAACAGAGATAATCTTTAACCAAGGAATCATGTACTATCAACCATTGTTTTTTTCTGGCATTTAGATTGGAAGATTGATTATTGGACAGAATGGCCTTTTATCCACTCCTGCTGTGTCCTGCATTATCAGAAAGGTCAAAGCTGCTGGGGGGATTATTCTCACAGCCAGTCACTGTCCTGGAGGACCTGGAGGAGAATTTGGAGTAAAGTTTAACATTGCCAATGGAGGTAAGAGTTGTTGCATCTTTGAATATATTATAAAAAACCTAAGGTCCAAAAAGACATTTGCCTATTACATTAACCATCTATACTCATATAAAAGTTTAAAAATAATGTCTGTCTGTATCTGTCTATCCAGCAAGTCAGCCAGCAATCCAGCTATCTATCTTAAGACATCTTAGATGTAAATACAGTATATTTAAACAATGTTTAAAAAGCCTGTAGACTTTTTTCCAATTATTTGGTTTTTTGGAATTAAACTCTTTGAATAGTCATGGTTTCGTCTCCAGGCATGAGATCCATGACAAACAGTCTGATGTAGTAGCCACAGACACCTCTGTTCATATTGGCACAGCTTCTTGTCCCATTAGATTTCTAAAATATTCTTTAAAATATCTAAAATACTACTTTAATTATAAATAAGTAGGAATCTGATATACTACTGCAGCCCCATTTGGAAATATACCCATCTTCTCCACAAAAAAATTAATAGAAGATAACTGGTAGAATGCATCCTGTATGGAAAAAAAAAGAGTGACAAGGAATATTCTCACTAGTTTTTCCTATGGTAAATTAAATATGTTACTCTCCACATAGAGCATGGTAGCCATTTTGTGAGAACATTGTAAACTCTCAAAATTCTAGTATGCCTCTTGGCTGCAAAATTTTGTGCATAATAACAATAGCAATAGCACTTAAACTTATACATCGCTTCACAGTGCTTTAGAGCCTGCTCTAAGCGGTTTGCAAAGTCATCTTGTTGTCCCCAAGAATCTGGGCCCAGTAATTGAACTAGATTGGAAAAAAAAATCCTACTAATTAATATTTGATGAAACATTAAACCCAAGGAATTTAATTTGATTTTTCAGAAGATACAACATATCAGACATTCAGATCAGTTTTAATCTGAAGATTTCAGAGACCATAAAAACCTGTAATAAAATACGCAAGCGCTTCTAAAATACTATGTTAATTTAAACTTTTGTGTATCGTAATAATATATAAAATATATTTTGTGTTTAAGAGCATTTAATCCCTGTTTTGGGGCAATATTCAAGAATTGATACAGCTTATGTTTGTATTACATTTTCAGGTCCAGCTCCAGATGTTGTTTCTGATAAAATTTATCAGATCAGCAAAACCCTTGAAGAATATGCTATTTGCCCTGATTTGAGAATTGATTTGTCTCGGTTGGGAAGACAGGAGTTTGATCTGGAGAATAAATTCAAGCCTTTCCGGGGTATTGAATTCTTTTCCATAGTGTGGAAATTTGCAATTAAAACTGAAAAGTTAGTCCTTTAAAAAGTTATTGGCATGGTAATATTTTAGAATGAAATGGGAAATCCACAATGGAAATGTGGCTTTTTTCTTGTTACCCAAATATCACATACATTTTAGTACTATAAAGGCAATGCCATATTGATAATGATCTTATTCTGGCTGTGACTGAAATTCAAACCAACATCTTTTTGTTTCCCTGGTTCTTGTTAGCTTAGCATTCCCATTCTACATATTTTTCTTCAGGCATTTTACTTCTAAACTTAAAGCACAAGTTGAAATTTCAGTTTCTCATTCTACAGCTTTTGTTTTACTTTGCTAAATTAATTATGGATTTTTGTGGTCATTGTGTTACTAAGCCACATAGTCATTTTATAACGTTTTTTTCATACTTGGTTTTATTTTGGTCTTTTTGATATCTTGATGATATTTTGTGTTATTCTATTGTGTGCCAACAGTTCTGGAAGCAATATAGGGAGTTTTAGAACATATAACCCTATCTTTACTTGCGCCTTTATCAATCTGACATGATTATTACTGTCCAGAGCCTTTGTCTGAGGGAGATAGGCGGTTGAGAAATATGAAATATAAATAAATAAATAAAGAAAGAAAGAAAGAAAGAAAGAAAGAAAGAAAGAAAGAAAGAAAGAAAGAAAGAAAG